TTTGATAGGTCAGATATATTTATAAACGATGGATGTCGCACATATTTTGATGAGTGAAGTATCTATAAAAAGTTCACATTGTAACTTGTACGCATTTTGATGAGTCGATTATTTATAACAGGTAAACTGTATAGTCAATACAGTAAAGTAGCAAATAGACCATGATCTGATGAGTTAAGCATCTACTAAAGATCCTTCATCCTTGATACACTCTTTCACACATTGTACATGTTTTGGACTCTTTGAGAGTCAAATATCTAAATGATACTTTGTGCTAGTGAAAAGCAACCCAATTTGGCTTATACAATAAACCTTTTTTCAACTGAAGCTCTGTCAGAACACATGAATTCTGTGTGTGGTATATCTTATGAGAAGAGATGCAGGATACACTTAGCTGGAGAAAGCAGAAGCAGGCAACTTTTTGCAGATTTATCTTTTATAATATGGAGTAAATAAATAAATAAATCATTTCTTCCAATTGATATCTCACATTCTCACCACCAAACTATGAACATCAGTTTCTTCAATTGCCCAGTTTATATCTCAAAACCAAACTATGAAAATCATTTTCTTAACATTCATAGATTAAATCTCACAACCAAGCTAACTAGCAGCTACAAACAGGAAAATAGGGCTAAAGTTTCGATTATTTCTACCTTTTGCTTGCAAGTTACTAACAATTATCGTCTCCTCCATCGGAATCACATACGCGCACAAGTTTAAAGCAGTTCAAATTCAGCAATTTCTGCGCAATACGGAAAAGGAAATTCGAGGGAGAGGAAATCAAACCTAGAGGAAAAACACACGGTGAAGGAGCAGAGAATTTAGAAGAGAAAACCGGAATTTTATGAGCCATAGAAAAATGAAAGCCATATTATAATACTCAGGAGTAATAATACGGAGTAGTAAAATAGGTGGGGTTGCAATGACACCACTTTTTGTTACACTAGCGATATCACTGTCATTTTGAGACACTTCTAGTCATAAAATTGACGGTTTCTACATCCCTTATCCGCCCCCTAAATCTCCACCCTACCCCCGCCCCTGAACCCCCACCCCAACCCCGATGTAAGCCCCCCACAAAACGTGTGGCTATTATGCATTGCATAATAGCCACACATTTTGTGGGGGCTTACGGCGGGGTTGGGGTGGAGTTCAGGGGCGGGGTAGGGTGGGGGGTTTAGGGAGTGAATTAGGTAGATATGAACCGTTAATTTTACGAGCGGAGCACCGTAAGTGCCTCAAAATGACAATGGCACTGGAGTGTCATTGAAATTCCACCGAGGTAGTAAAATACATCGTATACAATCAACTCCAATAGGTCTTGTATATTATAAAAAATACATCATATACAAGACACTATAGCAAAATTGCCACTCTAATAGGTAGTGCAAAATTCACATTACATGTATTGTAAGAAGTAAGTCCGAGTACTAGTCTTAACCCCGTACTTCGCACGAGCTCGTATATATTCTAAATTTTTTAGATTTTATAAATATAATTTTAGTTGTTTTAGTTTTCTAATAGTGACAAAATATGTTTTAAACTGGTGGAATATATGTCGGTATGTTAATTTAAAAACAAACAAATTCTAAAAAAATCAATGGTCATTGAATTAAGTACTAATAAAATTACGGAGTAGTTTTAATGAATAAAATATTTTAATAAAAAATGGATTAATTACATAATGATACATCATTAGAAAATGTATTTGGTCATAATGTCACTTGTCAGTTGTCAACCTTCAATTAAACTAATTTTATTCTATTTACTTTGTTAAAAAAAATATGTAACAATAAAATAAATAATGTAATAAGATAAAATTTTTGAAACAAAGTATTTAATTAATAAATATGCATATGTGATTAAATCTATATAATCATTTTTTGAAAAGTGATAAACTAAAATAAGTTGTGGATAGTATAAAAATAATATTATATATATATATATATATATATATATATATATATATATATATATATATATATGGAGTATATTTTACAATGGTGAAATATATATTTATAGAATTATTAAAAAATGAAAATGTTTTATACAAATGCATTCAAAGATCTTCAAAAAAAATCTAAATGGACCAATGAATTGAATGCATAAATCCACCTCTTTAGTGGTTGCACATGTGGCATACCACATGTCAACACTACAACAAATGAACTCTATTTTACATATATACTAGTATTTTAACTCGTGCCATGCACGGGTGAAATAAAATTATTTTTTATCCTATGAAAAATACTACCTCCGTCCGGATTTTAAGTTCACATTCTACACTTTTCTCCGTCTGGATTTTAAGTTCCCATTATACGTTTTCATTCCTCTTCTTCCTAAAATACCCTTCTCTCCTTCTTTCTTCTTCCTTTTCTCTTTCTCTTTCTTTCTTTCTCGGATCTGTCGGATCTGCGTCTTTTAATTCTCCTCCTCTTCGATCCCCAAGACCCCAACTCTTTCTCCTCCTCTTCCTCTGTCTTCTTCTTCTTCTTCTTTTGCTCAAAATCTCTTCCGATCCGTAGATCTGCTCTTCTTCTTCCTCTTTCTTTGGCCACCTTCTTCTTCTTCTTCTTCTTCTTCTTCTTCTTCTTCTTCTTCTTCTTCTTCTTCTTCTTCTTCTTTTTCTTCCTCTTTTTCTTCTTCTTTAGTCAAAATCTCCTCCGATCCGTAGATCTGCTCTTCTTCTTCTTCTTTCTTTGGCCACCTTCTTCTTCTTCTTCTTCTTTAGTCAAAATCTTTAGTCGGAGCGGCTGACGGTGGCGGCAAGGCTGACGGTGATGGGGAGGCTAACGGTGGCGGCAAGGCTACTGCAAAGATTATCGGAGCAAAGGGCGAGGATGGGTGTTGGCGGAGATACGTGAAATGGTCTGTGAAGGGCAGGGGTGTTTTGGACAATTTACACACAAAGTCAACTCTCCATAAAAATGAAGAAAAGTCAAACCGGGAACTTAAAATCCGGACGGAGGGAGTATTACTCTTCTCCAATGCATTAATATGATTCTACTACCCCACCTCGCCCTATTGATTAAATAATAATAATTCTCCCCAATATTATTAAAAATATAAAATATAATATAATTTTGATATACTATAGTCTTCCCATGTTTATTTACTACAATATTATTAAATGATAAAATAAAATATAATTCTAATACTATATATTCTTCTGTCTTTCAAAAAAGTTTCATATTTTCATTTTTACTCGTCATATGTGTGTCTCATAAATTCTTTATAAAATTTCGTTTATTTTATTCAAATTGGTACCTCTTCCCGCTTTAGATAAGTTAAATTCATAAGTCCCTCGATTAGAGTAAAGACAATGAAAATACTAAAATAGGGGTCCTAAGTCTTTAAGACTAAAATAAGAGTTCACGCTGACATTGTTACACTGTCACACTCACCACATTATAACATTGTAAGTGTCACAATATCATTGTCATACTGCGTTCCGTCGTCGTTGGCGACCAAAGTACCGTTGCGGATCACTGCTAGTTACCTGATGACTTTGCTATATGACACGGTCATAATTTTTTGTCACACTGCCAACGCTTATTCATACCTCACATTGCCATTAGACTTCTGCTTTGGTTTTAAAAGACGTAAGACTCCTATTTTGGTATTTTCATAGTTTTTTATTCATATACAGGGAGATTGTATTTTAATATATAATATTGTAAAATATGAGGTTTGTTGTGTGAGGTATGTAAATAATAGTGTATGTGTATTGAACAAATGGACAAAGATTAATCCATCCGTCCACTTGGTTAAAATGTATTTACTTTACAAAATATTTTTGCTTTTTTAATAAAATAAATAATCATGCCACCTTTAGTTGTGTAGATTTAGTTTTTAAATATGTAAATTTTTTATTTTTAATTCCACATTAATGATCATATAAAATAAATAACAAATAATTTCATTCAAAATTTGCAACGGAATAATTTCATTTAATCATGAAAAGTCAAATAAAAGATTTTTTTTGAGATGGAGGAAGTACTACGATCCATTATAAGGGTATTCTCAATGCAAAGAGTTTTCAAACTCACTATGTCACGCCATATTTTAACATTTCAGACTCTTTTTCCAGACTTTCAGAAAAATTACCTTAATTCTCACTTTGTCACATCAGTATTCCATTATCTTTTATTCTAATAATTGTTATTTCCATTTAATTAGTTATCTACTCCATTCGGTTCTAAAAACCTTTCATGTTTTGATTTTTTTATCAAATAATGACCCTCTTTGTCTATAAATTAACATAATCTAAATAAAGAAATGATATAAAAATTTGAAATCTCAAAATTATATCTTAATATCAACCCAATTACATTGAATTTATATTATAATAAAATATAATTTTCTCATAATTTATGGTCAAAGAATATTAGTGTTTGATCAAGAAAGTCAAAAAATAAAAAAAATTTAGGCCCGGAAGGAGTAATATATAATTATACTATACATTATCTTTTCTACCAAATTTATTTATAAATATAACTCACCATTAAGAAGATCAACATAAAGTTATAGAGAAAACTATATAATATTAACACATACTCCCTCCGTCCCATAAAGTGTTACCCATTTTGACTAAAGTTAAAATTAAAGGAGGGATAATTTTGTGTTGACTTTCTAAAAATACCCTTGATGTGATGGGTAAAAGTAGGATGTGATGTGTAGATTATTAGGAAAATGTATGATGTGATAGGTAGGGTTTGAAAAAGTAAGGGGTAAAAGTGGTTTTTTAATAGAAATGAGTAAGGGATTGTGGGACACAATTTTTTTGAAACGTGTAAATCTTTTTGGGACGGAGGGAGTATAAAATAATTTAAGGTAGTGTTTGGCAACTAGCATTTCATTTAAATTCATGCATTTCAATTCTAAAATTTAAAATCTTGAAATTCAAAATATCAAGAGAAGAAAGCTTTCTTTTGAATGAGAAGAATTTAGACACCCCATTCCATTTTTGTAGTATTGAATATCAATTACTTGCAACTCTACCTTTCTTCCTGCAACTTTCTTGTCTGATCATTATCTGTATGCCTTCCGATTTTCAGGTAATCAATCCTTTGGCTTTCCATTTTCCATCTCTATTTCTTGTTTTATTCCTCGAACAATTACAAAAAGAAAAAAGAAAGAAATCTGTACAAAGAGAGGAAATATATATTTTCAATTGAATTGGTCTGCCATTTTCTGGAAAGAGCAAGAATTGCATAAGAACGCTTGAGAAAGGCCCACATCGCCGGCCGGGATCGGAGAAAAATTTCATTTTTTTCTATTTTCTGTTCAATCCATTTGCTTCCTTTCCGATAATATAATCATCATCATCATAATATTTTTATTATTAATTATTATAATATGTTTCTTCTAATTATGACGAATCTCTAATGTGTCATTTTAATCTTGTTCATTGTTTACCCCAAACTCAATCATGGTAAAAAAATGACTCTTGATTGATCACATAATTGATATGATATGATATGATGCTGCAAATTAGCTATGCTGTAATTATTTGTGTGTTACTAATGCAGAGGATGATGAGCTATTATGTAAAGGAATGGAATTAGTCATCTTTACATTGGAGAATTTTTTAAGCAGCTTATGATGGCGAAGAAAGGACGGAAGGCGTCCACGAAACAGTTTTCGAGCCATATCGACCCTCGGAAGGAAGAAGAGCTCAAATGGATCAAAACAGGTGCGGAACGATAGAAAAGATGTTTCTCTCCCGGATAGAAAACGATTTTCCAAGGGAAAAAACTATCACATTGCCCACCAAACATGTATATGAAACAAGAAAATGTTTTGCCAAACACTGCCTTATTTCTTCCAAATTTTGCATCTATTTTCCTTCCCAAGCATTTTCTGTGTTTGAAATGGTAGAGTCTGAAAAACAAGTCATATTTATTGCAGAAGTTGAGAACAATGTGAGAAGGATTGTAATGCTGATCAAGAGCAGTGTGAACCAAAGCAATCGCGACTCGAACCAAAGGAGGAAGACGGAACTAATCCAACTTGTGGAAGATTTCCACAAAAAATACCATTCTCTTTACTCCCTCTATGACAATCTCAAGGGAGAGGTTAGGGAAAAGTGCAGCGCGAAGAACGACAGACATGGTGTTGATTCATCATCATCGTCATCATCTTCTTCTTCAGTGTCGAGCTCAGATTCAGAATCCTATTTTTCGCCTGAGGAGGCTGCTGCAGGCGGAGGAGGAGGAGGAGGCAGAAGTGGTGGTTCATCCGGCAGCGAGTCTTCCAACAAAAGAATTAGGAAGCCACATCGCAGCCGAGAAGAAAAACCACCAAACATTGCTGTTGAAACTCCGGATTCTGAGGATGTCATCCTTAAGGATACGTTGACATCCACGACCGAAGTGAATGTGGATGGTTTGGATTCAACCCTTGGATCTTCGTCATTTGATGACAGAGTGCCTCGACCAGAGGAACTCTTCATCAAAGACTTGAGTGTTCAATCAGACGAGAACGAGAGCAAGCTAATGAAAGAATGCTCCAACTTGAAGGAAAAATTGGTTGAGAAGGAAGAACTTCTGTTGTGTGTTACCAAGGAATACGAGGATCGAGTGGCTAGTTTGAAGCTCGAGCTCGAAAACTCTCGCGCGAAAATGAGAGAGTTCGAAGAGAAGATGGAGAGAAAATTGGAGAAATTGAGAGCATGTGAAGAGAGGAAAGGCATGGAGGATCAAATTGAAAGTTTGAATCTGCAGAAGGCTGCACTTGAGGAAAGACTAGAATGCAGATCAAATGAGCTCAAACAATTGGAATCAGCCAATTCTTCATTACAAGCTAAGATCAAAGAAATGGAAACCAAAGATAAAGAAAAAGAAGATGAAATTTCCGCTCTTCTTCAGAAAAACCACGAAAACAGAAAAGATGAAAGATCTCATCAAGTCAACGGCATGACAGAAAAGATCAACTCTTTGCAACAAGAGATATTGTCAATGAGCAATCAAAAACTAGAACTGGAAACGTTACTTGAGGAGAAATGTAGAGAAATATCGGAATGCCATTCGGAGGTAGAATCAATGAAACAAAAGATTTCATTGTATAATCATCAAAAGAGCAGTTTCAACGACAGGTCATCACGGAGCATAGAAAAGGAAGAAGGAGAAGAAGAAGAAGACTTGAGGAGTAGAATCGCTCAACAAGAACACACCATAAAAAAGCTGAAGAACCAACACATAGAAATGAAGGAAAAATTCGAAGAAGCCAACACGAATTTCCAGAACGCGGAGAGGAAGATAGACGAGATGCTAGAGGAGTTGAGGAAGAAGTACGAAGACAGCCTCAGGATCTTGAGCAGGAGGATCCGAGTTGCAGAACAACTGCACACGGAGAACAAGGAATGGTACCTCAAAACAAGAGAAACGTACGAGAGAGAGAACAAAGAGCTCAAAGAACTCGCGACGACACACAACAACGGAGTCAAGAGGATCCAAGAAATGTCGGTGGTTGCCAACGAAGCACTGGCCTCCCTCGACGCGGTTTCTCTGCAGTTCGAAAAGTGCACGTCGAACTTCGTCAGCCGAATCTCGAGCGTCTCGTGCGAGCTCAACTTTGCGAAGGATTGGGTTTCGAGGAAACAGAAAGCCATGGCCCACGTGAAAGGCGACGTGGATTGCCTCGTGTCGCAGCTGGGCGTAAAGGAGAGGGAGATTATGGTTTACCGGGAAAAAGTTTGGAAGTCGGAGAATAAAGTGAGGGAACTCGAGAAGATCGTCAAAGAAAGCGAGGATGCAATGTGTGACCTGAAAGAAGAAAAGAGGGAAGCCATCAGGCAGTTGTGTGTGTGGATTGATTATCATAGGAGCAGGTGTGATTATTACAAGAAAATGCTTGCTGAAGTTGGCTGCTTCATTAAGACTCCATAGATGAAATTTCTTGATTCTTACAAGAACATGTATTTTTTTTTCTTGTTTGATTTTTGAAAAAGACAAGCAGCTAGTTAGCATATATACTGGATAAGCAGTGTGATGCTCTTGTCAATCATCACTAATTGTGATTTGTGACAAGACAAAATTTTGTAGTTGCATAAAGCTTATTACATAGTGGTGGGATTAATCAAAAAGTAGTTATAAATACTCCTTTTGACCATTGATGGTCTAAATTAATTAGACGAGGCTAACTATTCTTGATCGGGTTTGACAAATGTTCTATAAATCATTTAGTTTTAAATGAAAAAAATAATACTACCTACGTCCTAGAATATTTGTTTTGTTTTGATCTTTTACAGTCAAAGTGGATAAATTTTGACTATCAATTTAATAAAATGTATATTAAATATTGATATAAAAATAATTTTCTTAGACTTATCTTGCACAATATTTTCAAAATATTGTTTTATTTGATTAAAATACCATGTTATTTTATTTAATTTTAGATCAAATGCCGATTTTGATTTAGTCTAAGGAATCAAAACTGGAGATATGATTTGAGACGGGAGGAGTATTAATTATTGGACCAAAGTTAATGCGCGTGCGCACACACACAAAACTTAAGAATTCGAATATCACAAAAACATTGTAAAAACATATAGCGATAACCTCATCATATTGTAAACGTAACGTTAATATGAAGTAAATTAAATTTATCATTACCTCTAATTCTGCATTCTCAGAATCAATGCACAACTTGTCGTCGTGTTTCTTTGTCTTGGTATGCTTGAAAGCATCCACCACATCCACCACTCTTACTGGAGCTTGAGACTCTGAGGCATGCAAAATAAAATGAACAAAACATATGCATCGATACATGTATAATTTGAATTACTACATCAACAACATCAACAACCATACTTTTGTGGAATTGAATTGAGTTTTTAAAACTGGAAGAAACTGAAAAGAATTAGAAGTAACTGAAAAAACTTCAAAAAATTGGAAAACCTAAAAAAGTTTTTAAAAAATTTATTTTGGTGTATTTTTATATTATTCTAATTCTAACTCTTGTTGTTATAAATTATTATTATTATTATTATCATCATCATCATCATCATCACGTTATTTTAATGAATGTCTTTAGGATAAAAAGTATTGTTATTTTTCATACACAAAAAAACTACTTTTACAAAAAAATATTATAATATAAAGTTAGCATAAATATCAAAATGTTAAATTTTAAAATGTTATTGTGGTTACATTGCACCTCAATTTATTTATGTAGTATTTATTATAAATAATATATTTGTAATTATACTATATATATTACAAGTTTTTGTTTTAAATATTAGACATGTCACATAATGTAATCAAACATATTCTTTATTTCATTATTGACATTTTATTTTCATTGTAACTCCTATTTTTGGAATAAAGACATAAAACTTTCTTTCACATTTTTTATGTTTTACTCAGATTTTATTCTTTTTCTCTAAACTATTTTGACTTTCAATTTTTTTATTAAAATTAGAAAAATAATAAAAATTTGAGTAATAAAGGTGAGGGGTCTTATATAAAGTTAGATTAATAAAACATAATATATAACTATTTTATCCATAAGTTTTTAATATAGTGTACAATACTGATATTTTCCTGTTTTATCATGTAGATTAATATACAAAAAATTGTCTTATTCATATTAAAAAGTTGAAGAAAAAATAATAAGTGTGAATCGTAAAAATAGTGAGATGAAAAAAATAATTTATAAACTATATAGTTATGAGCATAACAGTTGTAATAATAATAATAATAGTAATAATAATAATAATAATAATAATAATAATAATCACATTAAGAATATATCATTTTTTAGAAGTAATTGGTTGGGGAGTATTTGAAGAAAATGAGAATAGTTGGAAGAAAATGGAAAGAACTGAAGAAGCTGGATGAAATTGAAGAAACTAGAAGTTAAGAGTTTAAGCCCTAAAGAACAGGTTCTAAGTGTCGTATCCAAATCGTATACCTGGTGTGTACATTGATACTTTGCTAATTGGAAGAAAACCCAAAATAACACTCTTAGAGCCTTAAAATATTCTAAATAGTAGTGCTATATGTTTTGTACATGTGATTCCAATTTTGTCCTTTAATTAAACAACAAATAAATATTCATTACACACTGTCAAAAAATATGACTGTTTTGTGGAGTGTGGTTGTTCACTTGTAATTGTGTAGTGGGCAGTGTGGTTTTTTATATGTGAGTATTTATTGTGGCAGTGTTGAATCGATATATGTTGTTATATCTTACGACAGTGTGTAAGTGTATCATTATGTTCCTTAATTTCATATTGGAGTGTAATGTTCATTGATTTATGTGTATGACTGTTTTCATATATGAATTCCACAATGGCCGAAAATGAATGACTGATTAAATGATTAGTCTATTGCACCAAAACACACTAGCCAAACATGAGCGTTACATATAAAACTTAATTTAATACGTGTGAACTTGTTTAGACATTTTACATTAGTAAACTGCGTAGGAGGAGAATCTCGCAGAGCTATGATAAATGACGTAGGATGATGTTCTCGACGTATGAGATGTACGAATGAGAAGGAGCCGCACGTATGAGGAGGAGTGACTATGTGAATAACCTAAGTTTAATCAAATAATTAAAAGTAATTAAAAATAATAGAATAAAATAAAAGGTAGAAAGTATGTTTAGAAGATATTGACACTATAAATAACCACATTGGTATAAAGATTAAGGAATGTTATATGCATAATATTGAATGACTTAGAATACATTTAGGGTGATTTCTCTTACTAATTTACATTGACACAAAATATTAATACAAATTTTTCTAGATCACAATAAATATAATCACCTCACCTAACATGGTTGATGTTTTTACGGCGACGCATTTCACGCACCAACATTTTCTCTTCCAGACAAAGGTGACCTGTTATTTTATTTAATTTTTATATATTTTGTCTGTTTTATGATTTTATCTTTCCAATCTCTTTCTCTCTCTGTTTTTTCCAGCGGTTTTCGGTGTTTCATATCCCCAGTTTTCTGCAGACTTTGGTGCTCAGATTATCAGGTACTCCTTTCTACTTTCATCACATTTCACTTTAAACTTCTCCCTCCATTCTGGATTTTGAATTCCTCATCTTGTGAGCTTGATGGATATGGTCCCGTGCTGATTTTACTCGATTAATCTTCTGATTTTTGTTTTCATCCACCTACTTTTCCCCCAAATTCATGCACTCCATCGTCCAAAATGATCTCTGCATTACTAAATTTATATGTGAGAAATTACTGGAACGGAAGAAGTACAGATTTGAAGGTTTTACTGGAATTTCTCTAAGTTTGAAGAGCTTTAAGTTCTTCTTTTATGCAATTCTTAAACAGTTGCGGAGAAAACCGAGTTAATTTTCCGTTTTTTAATAAAGTCGGGCTTCAATCAATTCCTGTTGCAGAAGATGAAGGATTCATAACTTCAATTTGTGCATAATTTGTATCTTCTTCCATTTTCTTCTGGTTTGAAAATTAGTAGCGACTCCCTTCTCAATTAGGGATCTATCTGGTCCAGTCTAGATCGCCAAAAAGCCTAATATCTGTTCTGAATATACTTAAAATCATTAATTACGGTATTAAAAAATTTAATTACTGGAAGTCAAATAAAAGCGGTTATACCTATAATCTATATTTACTGAAAGTCAAATAAAGTGGTTTAATTTTCTAGCCAGTATGGCGTGTAGGAGTTTAGTAGTGACAGTTTCAGGAAAATCACTTTGAAATGTTTACTGTATCAGTAAAAAAAAGATACTCCCAAAAAAAAAACTTGGATGTTGATGTGAGCATGGAAATTAAAGTTGTAATGAATGAATGACTTACTTTGTGAACCTCTAAATGGTGACATCTTAGGTGTTTGTTTGAAAATTGGACGGGGCTTAGAAAAGAACAGGCTGTCAGGTCATGTCTGTGATGATCATTCTGTCTCTTTTCTCTCTCAGATGATTAGATCATTATTTTATGGCCTAGAAAATTTTGGAAGGACCAAATCAAAATGTGTTCTTGCTGAAGCAACTACTGAGTATTCCAGTTTGACATTTTAAAATCATATTCAACAAATTTTTTTTCATCAATGAATTCAAATTTGCATTGCATATTTATAATATGGAATAATTCATGAAAGTTTTTTGCATGATAAATCTAATGAAATTATTTTGTTTTTAGTATGCATTATAATTTTTATTTAGTTGATGAACAAAGTTTATTCAAATTTGACTACAAAAATGCCAAAAGTCAAATTGTATGAATAGGGAGGTAGTGGTAGTAGTCTATTGTAAAATGGATGGTGGTGTTTTGGATTAGATGGAGCTTAGTAAGAACAGGTTGGCATTGGCAAGTCATGTCTGGGATATCCAAACTGTCTATATATCCAAATTTAAACACTCTTCCACCCTCCAAGGATTAGTCCACTAATTTTCTTTTCAGTACGAAATATACCAACAGTCAATAGGACTTTTCATAATTTGTTGACAATACCAATGCTTAGGACTAGGTTGTATGCTAGAAGATTTTTTTTCTTCCCTTTTCTATGACATTCTCTCTTTCCCTTCTGCATTTGTGAGCTTGAGTTGACTGCTGATGCAATTTCTTTGGGACTTGGGGAGCTAAATGTTTTTTAGCCACGATATAGAGGCTTCCTTATATACATTTCCTTAACAAATTGTGTTTTCTGCACATGATTAAATTTTCTGAACCAGATTATTCTGTGGCAACATTATGTATGATCGCATGCTTCATTTTCCTCATTTACATAAGCAGGTCATGTGAGGATTTTGTTGTTAATTGAATGCTTTTTTCATGTTCCTATATCTCCCTTTTTATATTTGACCACACTTTTACCTTTTAACAGCACACAGACCAAGTCTCCTGACCTCTTACTTTATTCATTAATGATACTTCCACTTAGTGGCACTTCATAGATGAAATATGACGTGTCTATAAGCTATCGAAATACTCCCTTTGTCCCCAAAAAAGGTTCCTTATTTGGTTTACAATGTTTGACAGGATCATTTTCATTTCAATTTATTTGAAAATTTGTGCAAAATGAAGAAAATTTAATTAAACTATTTAAAAACTACCTCAAATTATCAAAAGTTATACAAAACAAGGGGTTACTTGACTATTTTATTTTGTTGAATGATCAATAAAAACATGTAAGGGAAGAAGATTTAGTTTGACCTTGTGAGTAGTAAATCGTGCACATGTTACTTGGCAATTATGTAAGCTCCCACTATTAGAGCTGCTTTCGATTTATGGTTATGTATGGTCGTATTTGCTAAATCATGCTGATCAATTTGACTTTCTTGTGCTAAGACACTTACATGAGTGGCATATCCTTCCTTTTATCGGGGCTCAAGTAGGGATAACTCGGATAAATTAAAAACGATTTTCTGTCGAAGCACCTTGTGCACTGATATTTTCACATTTTACCTTGTCCATTTGTACTGAACTTTTTGTTAATGTTTTAATTAGAGTTTCTGCAGATTTTCGTTTGAAACAACCAGCACTCAGTTTGATATGCTTCTTTTCCTCTCCCATATTTAGATTTAGCATACTTCTTTCACCTATGTATATTTTGGTTATGTTTGCCAGGCTGCAGCTGTGGTTTGTTGGTGCTGGAGATTGATGCAACCTCCTTCCTAAAGCAGAGGATAGTAATTATATACTTGAAAAGATGCCAAAGCACCGCTTCAGGGAAAGAATAAAGTCCTACTTTGAAAGTCATATTGATCCAGAAAAAGGTGAGGAACTGAAAGGAAATAAAGCAGGTAATGTATTTATTAGTTATTTAGTGGGTACTTACAATAAGGTGTATTTAGAGTAACTGCTAACTAATCAATGGAAATTTTGCTGTTGTAGATATTGAAGACAAAGTTCAGAAGATCCTAAGCCATCTAAAAGACGAAGATGGCAGGGACGGGAAAGAACCACTGATTGATTTAGTTAAGGATTTCCACAGACATTACCGATCCCTTTACGATCGCTATGATAGTCTCACAGGACATCTGAGGAAAAAGGTACATGGAAAGAAAAACAAGCAAGAAAACACTTCTTCTAGCTCTGATACTGATTCAGGTTCCGATTACTCTCCTAGTGAAAAGGACAGGAGAAATGGAGAACTTGAAAATGCTAATATAGAAGTTGCTGAATTGAAGACGAAGTTGACATCTGCAATGGAAGAAAAGGAAGTGTTGCAATTGGAATACCAGCAAGCTTTGACCAAATTGCAAGAAGCTGATAGAACCATCATAGAAATAAACAATAATGCTGAAAAACAGGATACAGAGATATTAAAACTTGTTGACGAGAATGCAGATCTCAGCTTAAAACTAGAGGAAGCTTACAAACTTGAAGCTGAACTAAACCAGAAGCTAGAGGAAATAAATCGAGAGAGAACTGGTATGATTTTTGGCATTGAGGAGGGAAATAGAGCTATTGAAGATTTAAAGACCGTCAACTCTCAGTTAAAGGATGAGAAAGAAACCTTTCATCAAGAATTGAGAGCCTTACGAGGGGAATTTTCTACACTGCAGCAGAAACTCGACTCCTCGGAAAGAGAAATAGCTCGGCTAATTCTGGCACAAAGGGCAGCTGAAGAGGAAAACCACTCTCTTTGCTTGAAAAACATACAGCTGTCAGATGCAATAAAACAAGCTGAAGAAAAGATTCATGACCTTGTCACTGAATCTAACCAGTTAAAGGAGACACTGTCTGAAGCAGAGAAGGAGCATTCAGCTAACAAGGAGATGCTGGAGTCTCAACATAATGAAGCTTCTATTCGTCTTAAAGGTTTAGAAACAGAGCTTGATTTGCTGCGTGCACACAATAAAGAAATAGAAAGACAGAAAGATGAGATTTTTTTGCTGCTCAAGAGCCAAGAGGACAAGGAGAATGATTTGTCATCTCAAATAGATGTTCTGAAAAATAAGGCCAACACTTTGCAGATTGAGAATGAATCTTTACATACACAGAAAGCAGGTCTGGAGGAGGAACTGGGGAAGAAAGCTCACGAACTTTCTGAGTTCTCAATTCAGATAGGAACTTTAAAGGAGGTGTTGGAAATTAAAAATGCAGACTGCCAGAGAATTGTAGAAGAGAAAGACAATCATCTTTCACTGCTGAAGGATAGAGAATTGGAGCTCGACTCAATAAACAAACAAATAATTGGACTTGAAGAGCAGCTAAGGGATAAAATCCAGGAGATTGTTGGTTTGCAGAGTGTAAACACTGAGATGCAAGATAAAATCTATGAGTTAGAAGGAGCAGTAAAAGGCAAAGACAACGAAATGTCCTCTCTACGCAAGGAATATGAAAACAGAGAAAATGAATCATCCTCTCAAATCAAAGCACTGGCAGAGCAGGTGAGTGGTCTAAAAGAACAGTTGGATACTTTACGTGCTCAGAAATGTGATTCAGAAGCCTTGGTTGAAACGAAGATTAAAGAAATTTCGGAATATCTTGTTGAGATTGAAAATCTTAAAGGGAATATAGAGAGTAAAACGGTAGACGTGCGGACGATGCTAGAAGAAAAGCAAGGTCTGGTGGTAAGGGTAACGGACCTTGAAGAGGAAGTGAGGTCTCGTGGTGAACAGATTCACAAATTGGAAGAACGGATAAGGGAGGAGGAAACTGGTTCTCACAGCAAAGTAACTGAGGTGGAGAAAACACTAAACGAGAAAGATGTTGAAATTTTTGCACTACAAAAGAAGCTGGTGGACGTAGAGAATGAAGATGCCACCCAAATTTCTTACCTCACAGAAGAAATCAACAAATTAAAAAGGCAGGTGGACTTCTTGCAGGCCGAGAAATCCAAGTTAGGGGTACAATTGGAAAGTGGCAAACAAGAATCTTCGGAACATTTGGCCCAATTGGAAAACCAGAGGACTGAATTAGAACAGAAAATTGCAGATCAGGAAGTAAAGATCAAAGAGCAAGAGGAGGCATTGGGCAAATTGTGCGAAGAGAACAAACAACTTGAAATTGTGCTACAGCAGTGCAAGGCGAGTCTAGAAGTTGCAGAAATGAAAATAGGAGACATGACAGAAGAGTTCCAGAAGAGTGTTGGTTCTAAAGACCAAAATATTGAGGAATTAGTTGGGGAAATTGAAGATTTGAAGAGAGATCTGGAAATGAAAGGGGATGAACTTGGCAGTTTGGTGGAGAATATGCGCATGATTGAAGTTAAGCTCCGCTTAGCCAATCAAAAGCTTCGGGTGACAGAACAGCTACTCAGTGAAAAGGAAGAAGACCATAACCATAAAGCAGATAAGTTGTTGCAAAACCAAACGGCTCTTGCAGAACAGTGCACATCGCTGTCAAGAACATTAACAGCATACAAAGAAACTCAGCAGAGGATAATGGCTGATGTTTCAGACACCGTGAATGAGACACTTTCTGGAATGGACATGTTTAGCATGAAGTTTGAGGAAGACTGGGGCCACATAGAATCCCGCATCTATGAAATCCTCAATGAGCTTAAGATAGCTAAGAACTGGATCAAGGAGGCTGGCAATGAGAGGGAGGACCTAAAGAAGGAAATTGTAAGTCTTTTTCAGCAGCTAAGAGACAAAGAAGAAAGTGAGTCAGTGTTAAAAGGAGAAGTAAGAAAAGTAGAGACGACACTTCACAAAATTGAAGAGAAGATGGAAACTCTTCAAGTAATGGTTGACGAGAAGGATAGAAGAATGGGAGAATTGGAAAGGGCAATGGATGAAAAAGAGAAGGGGATCACGGAGATTGGCGAGGAGAAGAGAGAGGTGATACGGCAACTGTGCATCTGGGTTGACTACCACCGCAGCCGCTATGATCATCTCAAGGAGACACTCTCAAAGATGAGCGGCGTAAGAAGAAGACAACATCAACAAATTGCAGCAGCACAATGAACAACAAAATGCAAGTATAGATTCTTACCTTTCCTTAGTGTTTTGGTTTGTTTTGTTATTTGGTTTTCTTTTTCTTGGCAATTATTTGGCTGATAGAACCCTTTTTTCCTTTCAAATATGTGTTCATCTTTTTGTGTGCATCATTCTTTTGGCTCTGTATACTATTGTAATTGAGTTGGTTTGCTTGTATTTATTCTTTGATTTCAAACCTGGTAAATCTTTTTAGCTGATTAGCCAGATTATTCAATCTCAATTGTTGTACATCAACTGTCTACGAACTAACTACATTCAATTCATACGCAGTTGTAGACAATTCGCCTAGAAACTTGGGGATACGAGAGACATCTGAAGCACAAAGGCCACCCGCTGAAAAATCACTTTTGACTAGGCCTGATAGAAAATGACCCGACTTGTTTTTTACTGAGTTCTGACCCAAAAACATTGAGTTTTGAACAAAGTCTTGTTGACCGAACCATAATTTGACCAAATCCAAAATGAGCCACCAAAAATGGGTCAAACCCAACCGAACCTGACCCGCTAATGTAAGGGTTTTTCAGAATCATATACATTAATATAAAATATAATGTTATAAAAATAAGATTATATATATTTCTTTTTTTAATACTCATTTTATATCAATTTATATTTTCAGACAAAATTTTATTGATATCAAATAATTATCTTACTTTTTTCCAAAACTTCATATTTAATTTTTTTATTCGTAATATTTACTTATATATCTAAATATTACTTAAAATATCAAAAATAAATAAAGGTCATAACTTGTTGGGTCATGGGAAAAAGACTAAAGTAGGATTAAAACATTAAAAATATACGAAAATAGAAGTTCCATGTTTTTATTTTCGAAATAAGAGTTAAAATATACGGAGTAACTTTGAAAATGACTTCACGTTTGCAGGTCAATTAGGTCAAGTTTGATTCGTTTTTAGCTGGTCTTTTATAGTTAACCCGTGATATTGGGAGTAATATTTTAAGGGTATTGCTAAATTCACTCCCAAAATGCTTATATATATCCATACTCTTTGCCTAATTTTATTAAATTTACATCCATTAACTTTGATATTAGTTTAGTTTAGCAAAATTACGTGAAAAGTGTAAATGAAACCATTTTTGGGGCAACAGTCTTATTTTAAATTAGGAAAACTATGCGCCATAATTTGGACAAAAAATAACCCCTTAAGAAATCACCCTAAATACGACTAAAATATAGATAAAGTACCAAAATAAGAGTTCAATGTTTTTATTCACTAAATAGAAGTTCACATTGTGGTAATATGACACTGTACATGTGTATTTTATGTCATGTACATGGTCATGATTGGTAATGTAAATGCATTTTAACTCTTATTTCGGGAATAAAAACATGAAACTCCTACTTTAATATATTTTCAATATTTTAATTATGCTTTAGTCTTTTTCCCTAATCCTATTCGTACGGGATGTTCGTCTTCAGTTTTTATGACGAGTGACCCCACAATTATTAATCTTCCTCTTGATGGGATTATAGACAAGACTTCCTTATTTGAAATGCTCTAACAACCGTGGGCTAGATGTACACTATATTGGTGTGCAAGTAGCATTTTCTTATCTATGCTCTAAATATAAGTGTAGTTAAGTGATTTATAAGTGACTGCTAAAGGAATAAATTCAGATTTGATTCTTGTCGAGTTATTGTGTGCAAGTAGCGTTTTTTTATCTATGCTCTAAACATAAGCATAGTTCAAGTGATTTATAGGTGAGTGCTAAAGAAATAAATTCAGATTTGATTCCTGTCGAGTTATTGTGGCGTTTCTTATAATCTGGTCAAAACTGCTTATAAGTTGTTTTTAACTAATAAGTCAGTAGATGACGTGTTTCTCTGTGCTTACAAGCTACTTATAAGCCAGAAAAAATAAGCAGGTCTTGCATACTTATTTCTAAGTCAGTCTTTTTTCATTTCTCCGTTTTGACAGATTACTTACAAAACTATCACTCACTTATTATTAATTTCCTTAAAAGAGTTATGTATTATTCAAGTCATTTTATCTACAAGAAAGAATTTCTAACTTATAAGCAGCTTATAAGCAATAAGTCAATAAACAGTTAAAATTTGCTTATAAGCAATAAGTCAATAAGCAGTTAAAATGTGCTTATAAGCAATAAGTCAATAAACACCAGTACAAAGAAACACCCACATTGTTTCATCCAATATTGGGGAGACGTTATTAGGTGGTGGGGACGTGGGGTACAACATTTTTTGTCTAAACATTAGTACTTAAATATTGATCATTACAAAGAGACGGGTACATTCCTAGAGTGGCAATACAAATTGTTTTTACATTAATCTACTAAGTTTCTCTCCAAAAATATGATTATAAAGTTGCAAAAACAGCACAACAATCTTTTCACCGACGGTACTACAAATTGTCTTTTCGGGCCCACGGGCTCCAAATCCGAATCCGTTTGCACCGTTGGATTCATTCTGTCGAAACCTACACAACGGTATAAACCTTTTTATCAAACGAAGAATATTCCATAATTTCACCTAGTCCGTCTCAGTAATTAATAAACTATCTTTAATTAATTAATTTTGATAGGCCGGGTTTCGAGGCATTACAAAAAAGGAGTAAGAATTGTTTATATCCGTGCGATTAAATACATGTACGAAGGGGCTACAACGAACGTGAGAAGTCAAACTGGGATAACAGGGGAATTCCCCATCGGGGTAGGATTACACCAAGAGTCATCGTTAAGTCCATTTCTTTTTACACTAGTATTGGATGTTCTTACCGAGCATATCCAAGAATCTGTACCATGGTGCATGCTTTTTACCGACATCATCCTTATGAGCGAATCACGAGAAGATTTGAATGAGAAGTTGGATTCGTGGAGATAGGCTTTAGAGTTGTGTGGCTTGCGTATAAGTCGCACTAAAATAGAGTATATGGAGTGCAAGTTTGGCAACAGAAGGAGAGACGATAACATCGAGGTGAAAGTTGGAGAAAATCGTATACCCCAAGTAAAGAGATTTAAATATATTGGAGAAATAGAAGATGATGTTAGTCACAGGATTCAAGCAGTTTGGTCAGTATGGTCAGACTTTATATGTGACAAAAAAGTACCTTTAAAACTAAAGGGAAAATTTTACTGTACTGCTATTAGACCAGCTATATTGTATGAGACATAATGTTGGACATTAAACGGTGAACATGAACACAAGGTTAGTGTGGCGGAAATGAAGATGCTTCGTTGGATGAGCGATCCTACGCATATGGATAGTATAAAGAATGAAGATATAAGAGCTAAAGTTGGAGTGACACCTATTGTAGGAAAAATAGTGAAAATTTGTCTTAGGTGGTGTGGACATGTGGAGAGAAAACCAATAAAGCATCTCGTGAGAATGGTTGATCAAATTGTGACTATGCATGTGGCTGGAGAAAGACGTAGACCTAAAAAGACTTGGTAAGCATTGATAAGGAAGACTTTGTGCCTGTTTGGGAATAGCCTTAGCTATTAGCATTAGCGTTTTGAAAAAGCTATCTACGGGCAGCGTTTAGCATAGTGTTTTCAAAGTAATCTGCCCGTTAAAATTTTATCCAAAACGCTAACGCTAATCTTTAACGCTATTCCCAAACAGGCCCCTTGAATAATGTCACAATAGATATGATACATGATAGGGCACAATATTTGGAGAAATTTATCTAAATAGGACTAAAACATAATGACTTTTCCAATATAGGACCATATGTTTTTATTTCCCAATGTAGGACCTTTGGTCATTATCATGAAGTCATTATTCAACTAAATGTGCATCATTGCTGGACATTATTCCTTGCACTAGGTCATTATTAAGTCATATTTATGGAATAAAAAAGTTTAAGTCCTACATTAGGAAAGTCATTATGTTTTAGTCTTATTTAGTGCAAATTTCACCAATATTTGATCTACTCCACCTAGTCAGATAAGGGTTTTGTTGTTGTTATTTGTGGTTGTATCTCTTCTCCCTTTCTCCTCCATCTTACTGTCTTACACTCGTTCACTATGAAATTGCTGAGATAGCATCGACAAAATCGCGAGAAAATGCACAGATTTTCCTCGAATTCAATTTCTTCCATCAAGAAATTATATCGCTCATCACTACCCATTAAATCTTTGGGTGGAATAATCCAATATGCCAATCTCTCAAACTCGCATAATCCTCACGAGTATCATCACCGGTTTCCTCAGTCAGAGCTAGATCATATCGAGCAAGAAATGGGGGTTGGATATGTACGTTTAGAGAGAGAACCCCAATGTAGCAGTGCCCGTGACCCTAATTTTGATGAATTTGAGGCGGACGTCGAGAAAATCTATCGGATTTTGAGGAAGTTCCACTCAAGGGTTCCGAAATTGGAGCTTGCTTTGCAGGAATCTGGGGTGGTTATGCGTTCTGGGTTGACTGAACGCGTGTTAAATCGTTGTGGGGATGCTGGAAATTTAGCTTATCGGTTCTTTGATTGGGCGTCTAAGCAGCAGGGTTACAAGCACAGCTATGATGTTTACAAGGCGATGATTAGGGTTTTAGGGAAAATGAGACAGTTTGGGGCAGTTTGGGCAATTATAGACGAAATGAGGAGGGAGAATCCGCAACTGGTAACCCCTGATGTGTTCGTGATTTTAATGAGGAGGTTTGCTTCCAGAAAGATGCTTAAGAAAGCGATTGAGGTGCTTGATGAAATGCCTAAATATGGTTGTGAACCTGATGAGTATGTCTTTGGGTGTTTGTTGGATGCATTGTGTAAGAATGGTAGTGTAAAAGAGGCGGCTTCTCTATTTGAAGATATGAGAATGAGGTTTACACCTACCCTCAAGCACTTCACTTCTTTGCTGTATGGATGGTGCAAGGAAGGGAAGCTCATGGAAGCCAAGCATGTGTTGGTTCAAATGAGGGAGGCCGGGTTTGAACCGGATATTGTGGTGTATAACAACTTGCTTAATGGCTATGCAGTTGCAAGGAAGATGACTGATGCATCTGCCCTTCTCCAAGAGATGAGGAGAAAGGGCCGTGAGCCAAATGCAGCTTCTTACACCGTGTTGATTCAGGCACTTTGTACTTTGGAGAGAACCGAGGAAGCAATGAGGGTCTTTGCAGACATGGGCAGATGTGGTTGTGATGCAGACGTCATAACTTACAATGCTCTTATCAGCGGACTGTGTAAATGTCGAAAGCTCGACAAAGCTTATGAGCTTCTCAATACAATGTTTCAACGTGGTCACATGCCTGATCAAACAACTTATCTGCACATCCTGCTAGCTCATGAAAAGAAGGAGCAATTAGAAGAATGCATTGAGCTTGTGGAGAAGATGAAGAAGACCAGCTGTTTCCCAGATACAAAAATGTACAATACTTTGATTCGTTTGGCATGCAAGCTGGGGGAAGTGAACGAAGGGATCCGACTATGGAATGAGATGGAAGCTAGTAGGCTTAGTCCTGGCGTAGATAGCTTCACCGTGTTGGTTCATGGCCTAATTGAGCAGGGCTGTTTGGTTGAAGCCTGCAACTATTTCAAAGAAATGGTATCTAGAGGTCTTCTTTCTACTCCGCAGTATGGTACCTTGAAGGACTTACTAAATTCTCTCATACGAGCCGGCAAGCTGGAATTGGGAAAAGATGTTTGGGATTGTATTGTCACAAAAGGATGTGAAGTGAATGTGTATGCATGGACTATCTGGATACATGCATTGTTCTCAAGAGATGTGAAAGAGGCCTGTTCTTACTGCCTGGAAATGATGGATGCTGGGGTGATGCCGCAGCCGAGTACATTTGCAAAGCTAATGCAGGGCCTGAGGAAACTGTACAACCGAGAAATAGCTGCTGAGATAACAGAGAAGGTGAGGAAAATGGCAGCGGATAGGGAAATGACGTTCAAAATGTACAAGAGAAGGGGAGAGAGGGACCTGAAAGAAAAGGCAAAAGCTAAAACTGATGGGAGAAAGAGGAGAGCCCGAAGGCGCCAATGGGGTAAAGGACATAGTAAAGCTGATATTGTCATTTGAATGTTTCAGTCTGAGTTTGGAGATGAATGCCGTGGTTCGACTTCATCTGGTTATTCTTGTTGTCTCAGGTATCTACCCTTATATAATAAAGCTCTATTTTGTTAGGGTCAGTCCTTTTGCCGTTTTCTTTCCGTTTAGAAAAACGATGAGTAAGAGAGTCAGCGATTTATTTCTGTTTACATGCAGAGTAGTTTTTCTTTCCCGTTTTTCCGTATAGAGAGAGGACCGAGGGTTTCAGCTTTCAACAGGGGAACAATTCTTCACTGCCGGTTGTTTCCCGGCGCATAGAGCCGCATTCACAGTAGTATTGCGGCCAAACATTTCCAATTCACAAGCACATCTACGAAGGTAACAAGTTTTAAACCTTAGGTTTAGGAATTTTGTGCTGCGATTTGTTACGGAGTATTTTGACTTTGTTGTCTAAGTTTTCCTTGATGAATTTTAGTTGTTTCACGTACTTCGGTTTATGCAATCCGTATTCAAAACTGAAAGATATATTTGTATTGACTTCAAATTTCTTTGGTTTTAATTTAATTTGGACATGTGTTTTAAAATATGCATATAAATTTTAATAACAGTTTCTATTTAGGTTCCTATTTTAATTTAAATTTAAATTCCTGGTGGTAGTTTGAAACATGCATTTTGTTTTTTAAAAGATGCATTCAACTTTCAACTCCAGTTTTAGGAGTTCCTATTTTAGGTTTCTATTTGGATTTAGTTTGAAATTGAGTCAAATTCAACTTTTATTTCTTATTTGGATGTGCCTTAGAATTTAGATTTCCAAATTCAGTGTTCTTCACTAGAGAAAAGGATGCAAAATGAAATGCGTAACTTGTACTCTCTATTCAAGCTTTTATTGAGTTAGTTTAGTAACTAAGTAGTGTTTCTTCTATTGCTTCGATTCCCATTTACGGACTGATAACTATTCTAATTCTTACATGAGACGACATATCTGTCTAATTTTATATGGGGCTATTTTGTTACCATCGTCCTTTTTCGATTTTATTTTCCGTCTAATATTATCGCCTCCAAAGTAAGAGAGAGAGCTACCCCTCTACAAGTTCCTTTAACCATTTAATTTCTTTCCCGCTTTTTCTTCTTTAGATTTTAATCACACTATGCATCTTGTGTTTAAAATAGTCAATAAGAGTGATTTTATCCTCGATTGATTTTTGTCTATCAAGTGGTTTTGGTTCTTAATAATGAATCTAATATGTGGTTTTGGTTCTTAATAATGAATCTAATATATGTTTTTGTCATAATGTTAACAGCCTGAATTGGGAATTTAAGAAGTTGATTGCCAGCTTCTTATCCTTGTAAGTTCTCACTGATTCCTTGTACTCCGTATTTGTTTTATGGTTCTAATCTTGGCTTGTATTTCAAATTTATTTCAAACTTCCAATTTCAAATTTGCTTTTAGAAAATACTTTTTCAGCGCGAAAAGCAGTAACTGAGGAAGAATTATAGTGTTTGTTTCATCCCCATTGTGTCCTAGATGAACCTTGCTTTTAGATCTTTTCATTTTCTTAATAAAATTGCTCTTTGTTTATATAAAAATAAAGAAGAGACATTTATTCTATAGTAGGACCGTGCACATATATAGGCTTCGTTTGACTATAGCGCTTGTGATTTTGGATATTTTTTAAATGGTGTAGATTAACATAGAAAATGCTCACGCTAAAAGCTAGCTTTCAAAACGTTGAAGTTAATGCCAAATGTACTCATAGTATATTATAACCACACACACAATCACCATGTTTAAATTTCAAACAAAAGTTTCAAACAATCTGAAGAATGAAAACATGTATTAGAGAATAACAATTGACTGACTGTTGATAGAGATGATTCTCTGTATAGAATAAACATGTAAAATTCAAACAGGACCACCACTTCTCCACATGTTATGTGGCAAGAAAGATGCGAAATCAACTGGCGGCGACAGGCTGCGACCATACAGAAGATGCGGCAACAATGGGACTGCGCTGCTCCTCTCGTCATCATCTCTCAGGTTGTTGTTGTTGTTGTTGCTGACCACAACAACAACCCTACGGCACAGAGGACAGGTCTGGTTCTTCCTCAACCAGACAAGAATACAATCTTTGTGGAATACATGGGAACAACAAGGCTCCAGGCGAATGATCCCATCTCCTCCAGCAAGTTCTGCCAGACACACCGCGCACAACTCCTCCTCGCAACTCCCGCCTTCCCACTTTTCCGACTTCAACATCCGAACATCATTCTCCGATAGTCCCACGGGCCCACCAAAATCACCACTGTCATCATCAAAGTACACTGTTTCTAAATCGACAGAGACAAAAACCCCGGCTCGGGCATCGGGTAGCATAGAAGCACTGTTCAAAGCGCCTCGGACCAAACGGTGGGTGAGTTCGCGGTGAATCTGGGCTGGGTCCAAGCCAAAGTGATGGACGAGTACGCCGGAGACAAAGGCAGACGCGTCCTCGTACGAAGCCAAAATGCGGTGGTGATCGAACCGTTCTGTAGCATATTGGATGATAGGGTCGCCGCCGGCGGCGGCAGCTGCCTCAGATTTGTAGGCCATCTTTATGCCTATAAGGCCGCCGCCGGGAAGCGGGGATGCGTGTGGGGGGCGTACCAAGTGGACGTAAGAAGCCATATTATTTTGACTGTTTCTTGAGGGAGAAAAGATTGATTATTTAGGAGGGTGTACACTTACATGGAGGAGTCCTAAGATATATATATATATATATATATATATATATATATATATATATATATATATATATATATATATATATATATATAGGGTTAGGGTGTATGTATGTTGGCAAATAGTTTACGACTAGGATTAGGATTAGAGGATTAAGATTAGTATTAGGGAATTAGGAAATTAGGATTACTGAGTACACTCTTTATTTGTTTCCTAAATCTGGTTTCTTGCAATCAAAGGTTTTCCGTTAAAATTATTTAAGGATATTGAGAATTTCAAACAAAAATTAAGGATTGAGAGTAAACAAAGAAATATTTATTCTCATTATTTGTTCATAAGTTTTAAACTTTTTTTAAAAAACTTATTTTTGTTAATAATTTTCTTAAAATTTTTAAACCAGATTTTCAAGATTTCATTATTTATCAAATTTGATTACATTTAAAATTTTATAAAAATTTGATTTTACAAAAATAAAAACAATCATCTCGCTAAATTAAATTCAGAATTTTCTTTTCTATTTGTCACAAAAAAAAATTCACATTATGTAGTTTTGATATGTTAAATTTTTGGAACATTTTTATTTTAAACTATATTCCGTATCCTATCCCTAAACTCTAAAATAACCGCAAAGGTCAAACTAAGTCAATAATATTCTGATAGTGATAGTAGATGCTCATCATTGTAATTTCTTTGCTCTATGGGAAGTTAAACTTTTTTCTCTTATTTTTACTCATTTTTGTTAATTAATCATTTGGTAAAATAATGAGCAGGTCGTCTTTTATTTTATAGGGAATTTGATGCAGTTTAAATACATAAAATTTATGTTGAAACTCTATACCATTATTTAAGCAAATTACATTCAAAATAAAAGAATAAATACCAAAATAGGACTAAAACATTGAATATATACCAAAATAGGACTTTCATGTTTTTATTTTTGAAATATGACTTACATTACCAAACATAGTCATTTACATTACTAAAAAAGTATAGTGATGTGGACATGTATAATGCTACATTACCACTGTGCAAAGTCGTATTTCGGAAAAAATAAAAAATCTTATTTTAGTACTTTTCTCTATGTTTTTATCTTATTTAGGGTAATTCTAAAAAATAAACTCTATTATGGTCTCTTTGATTGGAGGGAGGCGGAGGAAAGGAAAGGAAAACATCTTCCTCCCCTTGTTTGTTTTAAAAACATTGAGGGAAAGGGATTCGAAATTTCAGCTTCAATTCTCTTCCCTCCAAATAAATCTTTCCAAATCGAACGGAATCTCCTTCCCTCCTGTCATTCTCTACTTATTCTATCAATTTTTTTTACCTTGTAAATAAAAAACAACATAAAATTAAAAAAATAAAATGAAAAGAAATAAATAGATAGTAGTAATAAGTCAAAATAGCTAAATAAATAATGAGAAAATAAAATAAATAATTATAAAATAACAAAGAAATTAATAATAACAAAAAATGTATATTATTCCGTACTAAAATAAATAAATAATACTAAAAATAAAGAATTAAATATAAAATATTTAAAATTAAAATGAAAACTAAAAATAATAATATAATGAAAATAAAAAATTATAGAAGAAAAGTTAAGAATTAATAATGGTAAATAATTATAATAATAAAATAAATAAATCAATTAATAATGAAAAATTGTAGTAATAAATAATAAATAAAATAATATGTATGTGTGTATATATATAAGTAAATTTTTAAAAATAAATTAAATAAAAAATAAAAATTAAAATGTAGGATAAATAATAAAAATTAAAATTATAAATAATAAAAATAATAAAAATAATAAAAAGACTTAAAATTATAAAAAATAAAATGAAAGAAATAAATAAAAAATACTGATAATAATTTTAAAATAGTTAACAAAATAAGTTTAAAAATGAAAAATATGCACAAAATATTGAAAATAAAACATTTCATTCTCCTCCCAACCAAGCAAGGTGAAGGGAATCATTCCCTTCTCTTTCCGATTCCTCTCATCCATTCCTTCCCCTCCCTTCCAACCAAACATATAATTTAATTCTAGTGTACTACTACATACTTCGAGTATGTTTTTATGAGTACGGAGTACCTTCTAATTATATGGAGGGATTTTAATTTATTTAAAATTGTATTTTCGCGTTGAGGAAAAATAATCTTAATAAATTGTGCACTACTATTTTTAACAGAAACTCCCATCTCGATTATTAAAATTGTGTACTCCGCATTAGTTATGGTTATTGCTGAATCTACCCCAATGAAAAAATATGACTGAAAATTGATACACAACTTGAATTAATTCTATATATAATCATAAAAACTACCGTGAAACAATTTTCTTTTGAATTGTTAAAAAAATCTACTTAATACAAAACCCTAGTTAATTAAATAAACTTTTATATGTATATATATATATATATATATATATATAATACACACACACACATATATATAATAGCATCAATGTGTAATATTGAATATAAAATATAGAATTGTAATATTTAGTGTTATTAGGTCTACTCAGTGTGACCCTAATTTTTTAGAATTCTTTGACTTTGAGATTTAATATATTTACATTTTTTTCAAAAAACAAAATTCATTATCAGTTCGTTTAATTATGAATGAAAATTGAATCTTTTTTAAATATAGTTTCAATTGTTTTTTTCCATTTATTTTGTTGCTTTTTTCTCTTATCTTTTATGGAAGTTTTTTTTAACTTTATCAATGGATCATTTATCCATCATTTATAGTTGTTGTTTCTATAAAGAAGGAAATTAATTATACCATCTTTGGTGCATGGTAAACTAGGTCTTTCTAAGAACATACTCTGTAATATTTATAAATTTCTCCAAAAAAAAAGAACAATTTGACCAAAACAAGAGTGTGAGAATGTTCGGTATAATTCATGGTCTTATTTATATTATTTTTTTAGTGTGATTTTTTAAAGAAATGAGAACGAGTAATTTAATTAAAAAAATATTCTACTTTAAGAATATATTATGGAGTAAAGAGTTTTCTCTGAATATTTTCTTACCTCAAATACTTCTATGTTGTGCTAGATCTATATTAACGTAACATTTAAATTTGAATTAGACATTTATTTTCTTTATTTCTATTCTTTAAATTTTAGACAAATTAATAATCGTGCAACAGACGGATATAATAACTATCAAGTAATGTAACTCGAGTTGTTGAAAGGTGAAACTAAAAGAATAAGTTCGAATTTCACTCATGTTGGGCCTTTCGTCCAACTTTAACCCTTACCGTCCACTACACCCAACCCACATACCCAAGCCCATAACAAACAACCTACTACCCACATCCAACCCATACCCTTACCCATACCATCCCCAACACGTCAGAGAGATAATGGGCGCACCATCGTGAGGAACAACGTCGCTTTAGATGATAGGTATGTTATCTGCATAATTGTTCACTGATATTGAAATGTGGTGCCCACGCCAATGTGAAGTGGCGTAACTAGTCACGGTCTATTAAATACAGAGTATTTATTTAAAAATGTCAACATGAGTAATGATCCAACATTTGTCAGCAACCCCAATGAGGCATAAGAGAAAAAAGAATTCAATGAAGTGAAAATGTATTATGACTGCCGGTATATTTCATTGTGCGTGACATGTTGGCGAGTGAAGGTAGTGTGCTTTCACAGTTTCACCTCATATTTTCCGAAGATGAAGCTTTAGAAGATACTAGTTCCAAAAACAATCAATCAAATCATGTTTCAAGCTTGGTTTGAAGCTAATAAAATATACTCCCTCCGTCCCTCTTAGATCTTCCCAATAGCCCTTTTTCTTTGTCCACAATGGATCTTCTCATTTCATTTTTTAACAATTAAAATACCACAACTACCATCACTTACTTTATTTATTACACCTCACCCACTTCATTTAATACACTCCACCCATTTTCATTAAGGGTATTATGGTAAACTTTCACTTTTTTTCAACTCTCCTTAAAAACCATCAAAAATCAAAATGAGAACATCTTAGGGGACGGAGGGAGTACTATCATTGAGCTAAGCCTATGGCTTATGCAGAATTCCCAAATAGGGCTTTAAAAGTTTTGGGCCCAAAGTGAAAAAATTAAAATAAATTGGGGTGTCTCGTATACGGATACGCCTAGTTCGCGGAAGAGAGAGAGAGAGTGCAGAGGGCTTACTCCGCCGCCTCCGACACGCTCGGCTTCGTTGGCGATTGACGTCGCCGTCCTTTCTCCGGCGTCATTCCTCACTCCTCAGGTATCCTCTTCTCTCCTCCGGTACCTTTAGAATCTGTATACTCCGTATATCTCAGCTTCTCTCTATTTCCTTCTCCTTGTCTAAGTCTCTCTCATTCATAAGTTGTTTATTTTTTTTATATGCGAATGTGTTACTATTGAGATTTCCTCCTGACTTCTGTGCTATTTTTTGGGGCTGTTTGGCTATTTTAATTTGTGGGGTACTGGATGAGCCAGCGAGCTTTCTTCCATTCATTTGTTTGAGACTTGTATTATGTTTTCTATCTATTTTGTGGGATGTTATGTGTTTGATTTATTTAAAACTAGGATAGTTGATGTATTTCGTGAATATTTTGAGCATAAATACTTGTATCTTACAAAGAAATGAATAATACAAATAAAAAATGTATAAATGAATTTACCTTGGTTTTTTGAAAAATTTCCGCACCCGGGCACCAGTCGCCCACCCGCACCTGTGCTTCATAGATGGCAAGGCGCCACCTGTGTGTTCTTAGGGAGTTTATTTGTTCTTTTGTTAGTTGTTCTTCATTCATTTTTGGCAGGAAATTAGAAAAAAAGGTGCATCGTTATATATAGAAGATGGCGGGTCCGAAGCTAAGCAAGGGAAGGAGCAAGGGACTTCAGAAATCTCAACCAAAGAAGAAGCAAAAGAAAGATGTATCTCAGTTTAGTGATGATGCTAGAATATACAAGGAAGATGTTGAAGATGAACACAGAGCATCTGAAGGAGAAGAGCAGGGAGTTGAATCTGATTCTGATTTATCTTCTGATGGAGATGGTGCACTAGCTGATGATTTTCTTGGAGGGAGTGATGATGAAGAAGGTTCTGATGGTGTTGCAGAGGAGGATTCAGATGTTGGTTCTGATTCTGACATTTCTGATATTGAGAAGGATGCAAGGAAAATTGATAAAGAAAGGGAACGAGTAGAGTATGAAGCAGCACGAGAATTGGTGGATAATATTGGTAGAGTAGAGTCAGATGAGTTCAGACTTCCTACGAGTGAGGTACACTTCAATATCACTTTTAGTTTTTAAATATTTAATATTTCTATTACTGCCTCCATCCCCCCATAAAGAACTTGAAGTTGCGGTTTATGATGCTTACTCAAATTTATTTTGTATTCAATTCATTTCAATATTGGTTTAAAATTCAAAAATAAAATTTATACTATATTTAAAGACTATCAAATGTTTTGCAAAAGTGGAGGTGATTTGACTATGTTATTTTAAAAAAAGATTTACAAAAACATGTAATGGAAGAAGATGTGGTTTGACCATGTGAAAAGTCTAACATAAAGATCATTTTGACATGAGAGAGTAATATATAATACTCCCTCTCTCCAAAAAAAAAATTCCTCATTTCCTGCATGGAATATTTAGGAGCTTGAAGAAGAAAAACAGAGACCTCCTGATCTTAGCAATATCCAAAGAAGGATAAAAGAGGGTGAGTTACACGATCAACAATATTTTCATTTTTTTAGCATTAAGTAAAATCACTTCACTTACTGGTCTATATGGTTGTGGTACTATCAGTTGTACAAGTTCTTACAAAATTCAGGACTTTGAGGCAAAGCGGAGTTCCTCGCAAGGATTATGTTGACCAACTTAAGAGAGATTTAGCTTCATACTATGGATACAATGATTTCATGATTGAAACTCTAGTTGAGGTAACCTGCTAATTTCTTAAGTCCTATTTATGTATTTGCTTTAGTTGATTAAGCTACGTCTTGGTGTATTAGTTTTACTATTTACTTATAACTGTAATACAGATGTTCAAGGTTGTTGAACTTATGGAACTTATTGAAGCCTTTGAAAAGCCTCGACCAATATGTATTCGAACAAACACATTGAAGGTGAATTTTCTTCTCCTTACTTTGCTTTTAGAGCAAGAAGCATATCCAAAATTTGACATTGTACTGATAGTATGGGCTGTTGAGTTGAATAGACACGTAGAAGGGATTTGGCTGCTGTGCTGTTGAACAGGGGTGTCAATTTGGATCAGCTTAGCAAATGGTCAAAGGTGAATTTGCTCGTTTATATATATTTGGCTTGACCAGTCATGTTGCTACATGCAGTATTTAATATATGGATTTCCACTTGCTGAAACATAGGTTGGATTGGTTGTATATGATTCACAAGTACCAATTGGTGCAACTCCTGAGTATATGGCTGGTCATTACATGGTATCTTTAGGAAACTTCAATTGAATGCTTTTCAATTGGTAATTTGATTGTTCCTCACAACTAGATTGTGTATTAACAGCTTCAAGGCGCAAGTTCATTTTTGCCTGTAATGGCTCTTGCTCCTCAGGAAAAAGAACGAATAGTAGACATGGCGTAAGTAACCACAAATTCTTCTTGCATGCATACCTTTATGCTTTGTTGATTGCCTGATGTTGTGTATTTATGGAATTTTGTACCTCAACCTATTCTTTTTCTTTTTCAAAGCTTTATAGTTTCTGGAATAAAAACTTACCATAATTGTTTTTTCCTATAATATATTCTCTGTAATAATGTTTTAGATAAAAATACAATATCACAATAGCTGCACTGTGGTTGAAATAATGAGATCCATGGGGGTTCCTCCTATTTGTCTACTTATCTACTTCTCCAGGACTATCTTTCGAATTACATTCAATCATAGTAATAAACAAGTTGTAAATAGGTTTTGTTTTCTCTCTCAAGGATCTTGGCCATGTTTTTCATTTATTATTTTTCATGTTGCAGTGCTGCACCTGGTGGAAAAACGACGTATATTGCAGCACTTATGAAAAACAGTGGTATATATTGATTAAATGATTTAGCGAAGGTTCCATTGTGTGTTGTACTTGCCATTCTTATGGATCATAGAATTACTGTTACTGAAATGGTACTTGATATTTTATTAAAAGAGAGGCCTACTGTTTTCTCAAAGTCATTTTCCAATTTCACAATTGAAATCTTTCTTAACTCAAAAATTTATGTCACTCCTTTTGTGTGTTGATAACAAAGCTTAGACGAATATATGTAAGCCATGCATAACATATATTTGTGATGTGTACAGTATAATAACATAAAACACATATCATTTTGCAATTTATAGAGTTTAACCACATTGTTCTCTCATATTATTTGATAATTCCATAACCTAAGAACGGGTTGCATGTTTTTTGGTTGGTTTTATTGCACTGAAACTGTTGGTTGTGCGCTATTGTGAATAGTATTCATTGCTTTGTTTTGTTTCCTCTCTTCATAACTAGGTATTGTTTATGCAAATGAGATGAAAGAGCCAAGACTTAAATCACTTGCTGCTAATTTACAACGCATGGGAGTGACAAATACCATTGTTTGTAACTATGACGGGAGAGAGGTTAGAGCTTCTCTTGCTTAGTCAAAAATATTGAGCTTATATCAACTGAACATTTATGTTTGTCAGCATAAAATATTGCTAAAATAACAAAGAAGCAGCAATACAATAACAACACCATGACCCCACCCCCATCCCGGTGCATTTTCTCCATTGAAGTACTTTTGCATTTTTGGAAAATTGATTTGATTCTACTTATAACAGAAGTTAATCATGAATAAATACTATTTTTGGTGGGATCTTACTGGGTTAGTTTGTTGTTGTACTCCATACCAAATTTTCATGTCTCTTACTCTCTAAGTTTTGTTCCTCCTTCACTGCACATACTTGATGGATGAAGGTAACTTTTTCTTTTCAAAAATCTAATTTATTTCTTTCCCTAATGTAAAAATCACTGCAGCTACCCAAAGTTATAGGTCAAAACTCAGTTGATAGGGTGTTATTGGATGCTCCTTGCAGTGGCACCGGGGTATGGTTTAGAGTTAATGATGTAAATAGGTTTTTTTCTTTAATTTCCTCTCTTTTTGTCTAGACACTTGTTCTCTGTACTTCGCAATACAGGTTATATCTAAGGATGAGTCAGTGAAGGTTTCTAAAACTGCTGAGGACATACAGAAGAGTGCTCATTTGCAGAAGGTATAGAATTATTTTTATGGTCAGACATTTATATTTTGTGTTTTTGGAATAGTTTCTTTAGGCGGTAGGTTCAATGCTGTACAAACTTTTAAATGAAAGTAGCTGATGGTCTATGCTTTGCAAGGAAATTTATCTAATATTTTAAATGTAACTAATTCTTGGTGTTTCCCTGAAAACCGTTTTGAAAGTATGCATAAAAAGACCCACTGCATTGTCAAAAACTATTTTAATTTGTCATGTGTGCAGGAATTGATCCTTGCTGCGATTGATATGGTGGATGCTAATTCAAAAACAGGGGGATATGTCGTCTACTCAACCTGCTCCATTCTGGTTGATGAGGTACGCCGCAAGATGCTGTAACCCACCCACAGTTAAATTATAATTTTACCCTTCACTCTATAAAGTAACATACTCATAAACATAAGGGTAAAATGGTAATTTTTAGAGCATATTAATTAATGTGATGTTTCTCTAAAAAACATTCTTTTTGAGTCAAGTTTGCATTTTGCAGAACGAAGCAGTTATAGACTATGCACTTAAGAAGAGAAATGTGAAACTTGTCCCATGTGGTCTTGATTTTGGCCAACCAAGGACAGGGTATAACTTCTCTCTACTTGTGTTTTTGCTGAAAAGCGTACTTCCATAGCTGATGTCATGAGGCTTGCTGTTACAGGTTTGTTAACTTTAGGCAGCACCGATTTCATCCATCTTTAGACAAGACACGTCGGTTCTATCCTCATGTCCACAACATGGATGGCTTTTTTGTTGCAAAGGTGGGTCGGTTGATTGTGGGATAAAGATTTATGATTTATACACTTGCATATATTACACCATGTGGAAAATATTGCTCTCTCCATCCTCTAGGAAGACTCCTGTTTTGACCCCCCCCCCACCCACCCACCCACCCAAAAAAAGTACATGTATGATAAATTGAAACCAATATTTTATATAATTTGCCAAAAAGAAGTTGCAAACAAGTTTAATGTTAAAAAAATACGAGTAAGAATGGCTTGTAATTGTTTGTGTCTTAAAAAAACTTGAACATATGTCATGCACAAATATACTCCCTCTATTCCAGGAAGAAGTTTATGTTTTGACTTGCCAGAAATAGAAAGAATTGTTGAAAATTGAAGGGCATGGTTGAAATGTGTTGCCGTGTTGGAGGAGAGACAATGCTACGAGCCCAAATGTTCCTCTCATGAAAAGAAAATGAGAGAAGTAAAAAGTTTATTTTGGAGCGGGCAAAAGGAAAGTGTAAACTTCATTACGGAATAGAGGGAGTAGTACTTTGTCTCATAATTTTCTTCCTGCTTTGAATTGACAAGCCTATGAGCAAAATAAAATTCTGTTGCTGAGGATTACTTAGAAAGGTAAACAGTACTTAGTATTAAAGAAATTCAGTTGTTTCTCTTGCAGTTGAAGAAGTTCAGTAATTCCAAGCCAGCCCCAACGTCTGATATGCCATCAGAAGAAAAAGAGGAAGATCTCGAGATGATTGACAATAGGAAGCGAAGTTCTAAAGGAGATAATGAGAAATACCTTGATGAACATGCAAAACATAAAGGCCAAACCACTATGAAAAAAGAGAAGAACAGTTTTGAGAAACTTGCGCCAATAAAAGACGCCGGAAAAGAAAACGGGAAATTCAAGAAAGAAGAAAATCAGAGTGCTGCTATAAAGAGGAAGGAAAAAAGGAAGCGCTTATCTAGGGAGGAAATTTCAATAAAAAGGTAATTTTTGTTTCTTGCTGTTATTGATGAGTATTAGAGTATACCTCCCCTGTCCCCCAATCAAGTTTCCACTCTGGTTGTCCCTAAGAAAGTTCTCCCTTCATTAAAACAAAGTACCTTTTCTTTGAAGAGTCAATTATACCCTTCCTATCTCATGAACTTTATGCATTCTCAACTAATCAACTCTATCATTTCTCAAGAAATCAGATCTATTTTTATGGGCATTCTGGGAAAGTAGATGCAAAAAAAATATTCTTCATAAATCAGTCTGCCAGCCAAATTGGGAACTTGAATTGGGGGGGGGGGGAAGGTATTATGTTTTTGTTTAAATCTTAGGTGTATTTTCGCAAGACATTGATATTAAATGTATTGCACTAATAGAGGACTCATGTTTGTGCCTTTTGTACACCAAATTGTACACTCTTTTTTAGGGACATGCTACAGTAACACCAAGGATGACCCCATAGTGTCTCACCGACAATAATTTCTCATTGGAAAAACAATATTACTGGTTGTGCGAAAAGCAGCATGGTTGTGTCAATCTTGGTGTTATTGTAGCATGTCTTTTTTAACACAAGGTTCTACGTTCTTGCGGACAAATGTTAACCCCCTAAAAAACGACAGGTGTCTATGACAATAAAATCCTTTGTGTAAAACAGATTTTACAAAGGAAAAAATATTCTTGCGTTCAATAATGCATTTGTAATGTAAATCAACCATATGTGCTGAACTTTGTGCAGGGAAGAAAAGAGAGAAGCCTTAAGACTGGCAAAGAGCAAAGCCGCTGCAGAGAAAACCAAATCAAAAAAACACAAGAAAGCAACACCGGCTTGAAATGTACTTCCGGTGAGCTGAACATTTTTTGTACCTTTCAGAATTAGATTTCCATCACTATGCAATTATAAATTATTTAATATTCCTAAATTTTTGCGTATTTTTATGTTTTCTGTTTTGTACGAAATGCCTCAATTTTGTGTCACCATTAAGATAGAATCATTTTGTTAATTTTCTTCAAGGGATCATTCTGTATGACGCTTAAACTTTATTTGTGACCTTTTATTATAAGGCTGTTATGGGACACGCCCTAGGCTTGACCACTAGCTGTTGTGTCCCATTGTGGTGATACTGCCGTGACAAACCGGTCACGGCCCCTAAAAGGTGACGGTGGTCACATGTGTTGCCCGTCATTTGTATTTGTTTTTTCAATGAATCAAAATACTCGCATTTTCACTCGCTCGCTTTTCATATCCACTTTCAAGTTGCATAATATAAATTTTTTAGCTCACCCGCTTATGTGGTGTGCCGATGTGGCTTCCCATCAAACCCTGATCAAATCAAACCTTAACTCTAGTGCCAATTGAAGAATGGTGGTGCACAAATGAATTACAGAGAGTTATAGACTCATTTGAAGAACTCTAAAATAGAAATTACCGATTCTCTTTTAGAGATTATAATATCAAATTGAGTAGTTTTGAAACAGATAAATCCAAAATAAAAACATCATAAACTTATCAAAAAAGTATACATTACTCCGTAATACATAAAGTAGAAGCAAATGCACAAAGTAATGAAGTGGGGAGGAAGTCATAATAAAAGAGAAGATATGAGCAAAAGGAACAGACTCATCGTATTGGATCGTCCTTTAGAAAGAGCAACAATATTTAAGATATGATATATCTGATGTTTTTTCGTAATTGGTTTGGGCAAGTTCGGTCTTTGTTTTTTTTATATATATACTACATTTGTCTCAGTGTATAGTGTCTGTTGCGGTTGAAGATGTTTAATGTGATGTTTGATTTAATTTATTCTAAGATTGAAGTAGAATAAAAAAATAAAAATTACATATTAAAAATTTATTTAACAAGTATTTTGAAACAAGATGTTACATGACTATATTATTTTAGCAAATAAGTAGCAAAATTAATTTTTAAAAAATGAAAAAAGTTTGGCAATATGAATAGTGAAAACACTATAATTTGGGACAGAAGGAGTAGAAATTTAATTTTTTTCTAAAAGAATGAAAATTTTTATTTTGTTGATTGGGTTTGTTTGTTAATAAAACATGGAATTAAAGTGGTATTAAAAGATTGAGGGTTGCCTAGCATTTTTGCTACTCCATTTCTAAAGGAAAAAAAAATCTCCATCTCCATCTATACAAAAACCACAAGTTGGTGTTGGTGGACGTCACGCAGTTGTCAAAAGTAACGAGTGCCAAGGTGGTAAGACTCGAGTTCGATTCTTGACAACTGCGCTAGGAGGCAACTATGTAAAGCATAGTTAATTCTGTAAGTATCAGTTGTATGCTCTATTTTTTGTCATTAATCTGCAATTAAAATTTAATTTACCTCTTCTCAGTGACTATCCGACCAAGTTTGAGGAGACCCTCAGGGATAAGGCTCATCCTTTTTTAAATAAATGGCAGGTTGGTTATTTTGACCTATGCCTATAGAGTATGGACTACGTACAGTTGGTTTCAGGCCATAGGATGCCTCTAGTGATGGATTTGCAAATTTTTTGAGCTATGCCAACCTCCCACTCCTACTTTTCGAGCATATTCAAATCCCAATTGTCCGAGCGATACGAGTGACGATGAGGTGTTGAGGTTGGCGCTTGATACACCATCAAGCGCCATAATTTTTTGCATTTCTGGGCTTCTCAAGATGTGAAAAATCCTAAACGAATATTCTAAGTAGGTCCCGATTCCAAGCGAGGTCGCCCGGGCAAAACGGATCAAAACGTCTGAATCGTGCGACTACAGTTCCGGCATGTTCGATGCACATTGGATGCCGAGCATCAATGAAGACATACCAACACCACTGAAACTAGAAAGACCCATTAGGAGGGATCAGGCAAAAAGGAGAGGAATCCTCGCGCATAGCGGTTGAACCCTTCGTTAAAGGGTTCGAGCATCTCACCACTACGTTGTCCACCTTTACTAAATTGAAAGCGAAGAGGCTTAGGATTAAGTAGCAAGCGAGAGCGGAGAGGCCTAAGCAAAAGTGTAAGGAAAAAGTAGAGCAACTTGCACTTGGCAAACAATTTCAGCAAGAAGACTTGAAAATCATAAGCACCGACGTTGATATTCTTAGTCCAACGGAGCGTGTGATGGTTCTGATGATGATGAAAGATAAGATACCACGGAGGTGACTTGGAGGTGCGGGAATTAACAGCCCGAACGAGGGTCTTTAGATTTTTTTAGACGCACTATTATTATTTTTAGTGGGTATTTTTTAGGCACTTTTCTAAGTAGTTTTTTAGACGTAATATTGTTTTAGATGCATTATTATTGCATTTCTTGTTTTAATTTTAATGAAATATTAGAGTTAAATTCTAATTTAGTACTCCGTATATTTTTATTATATTCTATGTTTTTAGTTTAATTATTCTAATTAAAATAATATTAAAAATTAAAAGGGGGAGGGAAGGGGAACCACACCCCTGAAAGGGGAAAAGAAACGAAATTAAGATGAAATGGTGAGGTGACATAGAGTTGGCAGAAGAAAAAGATAAGAAATGAGGAACTATAGCCTTATATATTAAAGATAAAAGTATCCTAGAATGTTCTTCCCGTTTCTATTTACAAGATTTGACTGATTTTATTTTTCAAATCAATTTATTTGATTGTAAATATTAAATCATCCTATTCTTAAAAGCCAAGGGAATTATGCCCCATGCTTTTTCCCGCCCAATGACTATCATCTATGGACCATCGATTTTAATCTATTACATTTAATCTACGGTTATTATTAATCCATGTGTATTACTCGAGATAAAAAAGGAAATATCATATGTATTTAATGCATTTTTATTTAATTACCAAAATTAATACCGTGTGTATTTACAGCATTAGTACCGTGTGTATTCTCGCTTACTACCAAAATTAATACCGTGTGTATTTTAATCTATTAGGGAAATACTGTGTGCATTGAGTATCTATCCATCCATACTTTATTTAAAAAGACATGGATTTAGTATTTCGTTTTCCCGCCCATTTGGTGTTCCACCAAAAATGGTAATTGTTCACTCCATATGGTAATTACTCAATTAAAATGGAGTTACATGCATGGGTCATTAATGGAGTTACCGTAATTAAATAATTACTCATTTAAAATGGTAAGTAATTTAAAGTAATAATAAAATATTCAAATTCGTAGGTGTTCTAATTGTAAAAAGGTAAGTAATAATAAAATATTCAAACATAATTACACTTACCGTTAATAAATCAATCCTTTTTTAACCAGTTTATACGAATGGTAATAATTGAATTTAATTATATCTACTAATATATATGTAATAATATCTAATACGTATAGAGTAATAAAATTAATATAATATAGAGTAATTAGAAATTAAAATACGTATAGAGTAATAAAATAGGAAAATATGTATAGAGTAATGTACATTTTTAACACGTATACAAAAATGGTAATAAAAAATTATTAATGGTAGAGATGCTGAACATTAATGCAGCGAAACAAATTAGGGCAGATTCTTCATACCATAACTTGCATAAACGAAATTAGAAAATAAAATACGTATAGAGTAATGTATATTTTTAACACGTATACTAAAATGTTAATAAAAAAGGAACACCGAAATTCATAAATTTATGTAGTATAAATACGCTACCTTACCGGGCCAGAAAAGTAAATGAGTGTTCATGAAACGAGAGTTTTAATTAATTGGTGCTCCACCATCGTTTTTGTGCGAACATGGGAGTGATTACCGCCTTAAAAAATATTCATGAAAATTCTGGATTATTGATGAAGAAGCTAAGAGCGATTAGAGTTTACCACGTTCCTGCTCATTCTCGAGGGCCGGAATCATTGGATATTGTTTTCCACGACTCAGACGTTAGTTCTACATTGTTTTATATTTTACATGTAATAAACAAAAAATATAAATTTAATTATAAATTAACGTTTTAAATTTTACATGTAATAAACAAAAAATATAAATTTAATTATGATTAACGTTTTAATATATGCACATTCAAACAAGATTTGCAAGAAAATGCGGTTTACTTAATCATGAGGGTCAAGGTTATACACAATTTCCAAGGCACAAAAACTACCAATCACCCTTGCATGCTCCAATTTTTGGGAAGGACCAAGATTCAAAAACTATCGGAAAATGAAATTCCTAATTTTCGATTCTACTTTAAGAGTTTTAAAGATGTACTCAAAACAAAGTTTGCTGACCAAGTCTTTTTAGTTGGTAAGAGTCATTTACATTTACATAACTTAAATACTTGCACATATGAAATACATTTCATATATTATGATTATGAAATTTATAAAATTGTATTTTTCTGGATTGAAGATTCAAGAGTGTTTAGTCATAGATAGCTCTATATTGTAGTTTCAAGAATAACTAATCGTAGTGGATTGAAGATTCTGATATGCAATGAAGACAATACTCCCACAAAGACTACAAATAATGTAGTCTATAAAGAAGTCTTCTGAAATTTGTAAAACATTAATGTTCTGTACCTTAAAATAATATAATCTCTATATTCTATTGCATCTCATTTTTTATCATTAAAAAATGATCTGAATTTAATAACAAAAAAATGACCCGTGCGTTGCACGGGTGTGATACTAGTTAGATGATAAAATTTATATATTTAAAAACTATATTAAAATATCTACAAAATGTACAAGATGTGACAAGAGTATACTCGTATTATATTATCAAATAATTAACATATACGGAGTATATGTAAAGCAAGTGATTAAAGTTTGACTGTGAATAGCAACTCAGAAGAACATTTTAAGAGAGAGGGAGTAATAGATTATGAAAAGTCACACCAAAAACTCACTCGGTCTCACAATGGTACCACACTTAAAACAACGTGCAAAATTCCATCATTTTTAAAATCATTTTCATTATAAATTGGTATAAAAGTAAAAAGTATAAATTTTACCATTTGAAAATATATCTAAAATCCTATAAAATAAAAGATGATAAGTATAGTTCATCTTCTCAAATGATCAATGGAAGACAAGAAAGTGTATAAACAAACAAAATTATCGAATGTAGAAAGTATTTAAAAACAAGAGTAAATTTCATAATTAGTCCTTTATAACATGTGGATTTCCCTATTTAGTTCTCTATTCTCAAATATT